AAAATATTGCACCAGAATAATTTGTATAGCAATGAAATTCCCTTCTGTGTGTTTTTTAATGCCATAACTGCGTATAAATTGGTTTACTACTGAAGCTAATATAACAGACAAAACAACCACTTTTATTTTTATATTGTATTATGTGTCAGGTGTCTGCTGATCAGCAGGGCAGATGGTAGCTCCCAGGAGCTGCAAAAATTAAATGGGCTAGCTTTAAAGTCGCATCTTGCACACATAGACGGCGGTACTGTATTTTGTAAACAAATCAAACAAACCAAACCATTTGGCCCGTGCTGAGTCTGTAGGCTTGATCTCTGCAAGCTGCTTTCCCCACTCTGTTTTGGAACAACTATTTGCAATAGGCAGGCTGAAAACAGAGTGGAGGAGGGATTACGGTGGCTTTCCAGAGCACAGGTTCATTTGTTCAGCTCAGTTCTGTTGCCATATTTCGGTCTTCCTGGGTGAGCCTCTTCAATATTGAGGTTATGGCTCAGTAACAGGGTTGACAAAGGGCTTGCCCTATCCCGTGCCATTCTGTCTGAACCCTTCTAACTTTTTGTGGCCATTCTACAGCAGGGCTGGGGAACTTGTGGTTGCCCAGATGTTGCGGGACTTCAACTTCCATCACCCCAAGCCGGCACAGCCTAAGCTCAGGAATGATGGGAGCTGAGCTCTAGCAACATCTGCAGGCCACATGTTCCCTGTTATGTACTGAGTTGAATAGCATCCAAAATGCAGCAGTCTGATTGGTCCTAGAACAATAGGATCCAGAATGCAGCAGTTTGATTGTTCCTAGAACAATAGGATTCAGAATGCAGCAGTCTGATTGGTCCTAGAACAATAGGATCCAGAATGCAGCAGTATGATTGGTCCTAGAACAATAGGATTCAGAATGCAGCAGTCTGATTGGTCCGCAGGAGCCACCCAATCCAGCTCCAGGTGGAAGTGAATCCGCAACCTGATTGGCCTACAGGAGAATCCTGGAATTAGCCAATCACGTGGGGCCCATTGTGTAAATAATGTATATAAGGCAGACATTCTGGGGGAACTTCCATTCCTCCTCACCACTATGAGCTGAATAAAGAGCATGAAATCCATGCTTGACTCCGAGTATATTTCATTCCCCATCTCCATCTTAGTGGGAGATGAAATTACTGACTTCCCCGCATCCCTGTCCCCTCCAAAAGTAGCCAGACCAACAAAAATACCGGGTATTTTCATTCTGGTGGCAATTTCATTCTGCATGGCAATACAGTGCAACACTCCTTGTTTGACTGTATTGTACAGAATGGGGGGAGTAACAGTGTTATCATTAGTCATCCTTAGAAGGAGAGCAATGAAGTGACCGTGAGATGCTGCATAGAGAAACAGAGGCAGACGATTGCTATAGTAACTATGTAGGTCAAACAACACCAGGGCCAGCCTTGCCATTAGGCAGGGGAGGCAACCCACCACAGGGAGCAGATTCTTTTTGAAGTATTAAATAGAAACAGTTTAATCTATTTGCCACTATTGATTGTGCAATTTAGCTGCCCTAGAAACCCTTTTGTGGTTGCAGAATAGTGTTTATAATATTCCTTTAAAGCACATTCAAAACACATTCTTACCCTCAAAGAATCCTGGGCACTGTAGTTTGTTAAGGGTTGCTGGGAATCGGTAATTCAGTGAGAGGTAAACGGCAGATAATTCTCCAAGGAGCAGAATTTCAAACACTTTAAAGGTATATCGTGTACACAGGCTAAATAAAAGCTGGATTTTCTACTTCAGTCTCCAAAATGTCTCCGGCTGCCTCTTGATAGCAACATGAAACAGGGCCTTAATGTACACAGATGGGTATTTATTTAAGTTCTAATTAACTGCTGGGTAAATTACAAAGCAAATTTAAAAAATGTTAATGCATGGCCATCATTGCTAACCAGCCTCTGCTCATTAGAAAATGGACAGGTCTCTCAGTGTTGCAGGAAAATGCTCACATTTTACAAGTGGCAATTGAAAATGCTTTTTAAAAAATTAAAAAAACTTTTCTCCTTTTAAAATTGTGAAGAAGTGAAGAGTTTTGAAAACGTGGAACTTTGGAAACGTGGAGGTGCTGTATGGCAACTGGACCCGTGACTAGTCCCTGAGTCTGTTATTTATGGAGCTCCATCTTCCTCCAGTCCTGGATTGTGGCTTCAGAAAGGGGTGAGATCTAAGTGGGGGAGAAACAGCAGGGTGGTGGAGAACAGGAAAGGCTTGAACTCCCCTTCCCATCATCTGCCACTCAGGCTGTACAATTCACAGATTTTTAGCCAGATTAAACTGATGGACGGGTGAAGTTTAAGGTCCTTTCATCACCCAAGCTGGGTCAAGCCATTTTGCCGCTTCTTGAGACAGAACAGCACAACACCCATGCGAGTCCGTGGGCCTAGTACTCAACGTCAGTCCAGTCATTTTGACATTTGAGGGAGGAAACAACAACCTTACACCTCCATAGTAGTCAAAACAAAGCAACAGGAAATTAAATAAACCATTTGCTGCCCATTCGTGACACCCAAAATCCAGTACCTGAGGCAGCCGCTTGACTCTGCCTACTAGGAGGACCGGCCCTGAAGTGCTTGCCTATAGGTCAAATGCAAGCAACTACTTTTCATCAGCAAAATGATTATTTTATTCACTCATATTCACCACAGAGGATTCATGAGGTGTTCTGTGAGTCTTTGAGTCTGGCATTTCAAAATGGCAGGGCAGCTACAGAAAGGGGGGGGGGGAATAAAGAGCACTGGGTCTTCCCTCTCTGCTGTGTCTGCCATGTTGGCAACACGACAGGCTGACAACCGAGAAGTTAAGTTCGCAGCAACTTAATAGTAAGTTGCACAATGGTGGGGAGACTGGACAGACCTGCCCATGTCTGAAGATATGCCACTGAAGTCCCGCTGCCTCAAGCACCGGCCAGCTCAGACGTGTGTCATGATGTAGTCATAAAGGAGTGGACTTTTCGGTGGTGGCACCCCAGCTTTGGAATGCTTTCCTCCAAGGAGTAACGTACATCTGGCATTTATATCACACTCATTTCAGTACCAGGATCTTTTGTTGGCATCCGCCTGTCTCAGTCGACTGTGCAGTTTTTACCAGCTGCCTTTTATTATGTTGCTAATTTGAAGTGTTTTATTGTTAACTGTTAGTTAATGCATTATCTATATTATTACACACTGCCCTGAAGTATGTTTTGTTGAAGGGCAGGTGAGAGATGTTTCAAATTAAGTATTGGCCGGTTGCACAATTAAAAGGTGAAAATGCTGTAAGGTGAACTGTGTCCCAGGAGCTAGGTGGTTTTGAGTCTTGGCATTAAAGTAAGACTGCATGGCTGAGCAGTGGCTCAAAACACAGGGTTGTCATAGTGCTACTCCCATGAAAGGGAATAAGGGAAACAGGAACAGTTGCTCCTGAAAGCAAACAGCTCAGTTGTTCAGGCACTGGGAAAAGCTGTGCTTCAGACCTGATGAATTTCTGCCTGCCACACAGCTGTTGAGGACCCAAACGACAGGAAGGGGAAGGAAACGGCAGCAACCCTACTGCTCGAAATTATTCATCACTGGTTACATTCACAGTCTAACTTGGGCACATTCATAGAATTGTAGAGTTGGAAGGAACCACCAGAGTCATCAGGGCTTCCCAAACTTGGGTCTCCTGCTGTCAATTCCCACCATGCTTCTGCTAGCTAGGGATGATGGGAGTTGTAGTCCCCAAGCAGCTGGAGACCCAAATTTGGGAAACACGGACCTCCTGTGTCGGAATTTATTGTCCACCGTGGGGGCTTTGTTGGGTTGAAATAAGCGACAGACGAAGTGGCAAGTGTCATATGGGAGGCATCTACCGAGCAGGTCTCGGCGAGTCTCTTTTATTGAATATTACAGCATTACCACATATGTGCTTGTTGCTGATTGGTTAACACAAATACAATGCAAAGGTTGAATATAGGCATTAATCATCAATAGATTAAAGGTTGGGAAAAGGAACGCAGAATTGGACAGGCGTGAAACCTCCTTGTTAAACTATTAACTAGTGATTGATTATCAAGACTTAAACTATTACTGTCAGGGGTTCAGGGAGAGAGGCACAGGGTAGGCAGGAGATGGAGAGCGATGGGGATGAATCCCAAGCGAGCGAGGAAGAGGATGACAATGACTCAAGAGATTCCATGAGTCTTTCCAGCGAATCAGAGGATTCCCAGAAGGGGGCGCCGGTGGTCAAGGCCAGGGGAGCCCCAGGGGGACGTGTCAGGAGCAGGGGGCCAGCGGAGGATCCCAAAGTGGCAGCTGGGCGTCAGGACCAGCCTCCCCACCAGAGTGCAGCGAAGGGGGTGGAGTTTCCAGTGTGTCAGGGGAAGCGGCTCCGGCAGCAGAGAAAGGAGGGAGGTCAGAGCAAGCCACCCTCCCGGAAGGGGAGGGGAGCAGTGAAGGGAGTAGTGTAACTGTCAAAAGGAAAGTTAGAGGTTTGGCGCGCGCGCCAAGTTCAAATGTAGAGGCGCGCGGAAGTACAGGGAGCCCGGAGGAGGGCCAGGTCCCAAAGCCCGCAGGAGGGGGGAAGAGCAGTCTGATTCCGCGTCAGAGGAATCCAGGAGGGGCGAAACCCCAGGGGCAGAAGGACCCTGCGGAAAGGAAGGAGAGAAAGAGGTGGAGCAGCGCAAGCCTCTTAAATTGGTGCAGGGAGGGACGGATTCAGAGGGGACTTCAGCGGTCTAAGCGTAGCAGACGTGAGGCTGCGCGCCTAGGATGTCAAGCAAACAATGAACTGCAATAAACACTTTTGTATATAAGAAGACATAGGCGTTGGTCTTTTGTGAGCTGAGACTTGAGGCAGCCTTGACAATTACTAATGATTGATATTGCATGACATGAAAGAACATAACAATTGCGTTCCGTAGATGTGGTCAAACAATGCGTTAAGAACAGGTCAGGGTACACTGTTTCATGAACTCAATGTGAACTGATCAGAACATTCCCAGATTCATGTGCAGAGGCAGAAACTTCCCAGCAGGGCTCGAACCCACGACCTGGAGATTAAGAGTCTCCTGCTCTGCCGACGGGGCTATGCTGAGTGCCTTGGAGCGCTGCTGCAATCTGGGTGTGTGCCTGCGCGGTAGGCAGGCAGACATTCAACAGGTTCAGAAGGGCAGCTTTTCCTGGCAATGCCAGAGGAGGAAAGCTTCACCTGTTGGAATTCCGGCTTGGCGCCGGCAGGGTGGCGCCGGCAGCATCCTGCGCAAAGAACCCCAGCGAGAGGCTGGGTGAGATTTCGGAGCCGGGCGTCGAAGGCAGAGCGGCAGGAGGCAGCCAGGCAGCCTCCCGGGAAACCGACGCCGCCGGGCGGGGCGCCGCCTCCGCGGGGAAGGGCGCAGCCCTCTGGGCGGAAGAGGCGCCGCCTCGCCATCTCGCGCCCGCGTCTGCCGCCAGAGCGCGAGGAGACGGAGGAGGAGGAGAGCGACGGAGGGACCATGCCTGCCGCCGCGCCGCCGCCCCCCTTGCGCCCCGCCGCCGGGCCGCCGCCCTCCTGCGGCTGCCCCTGCGCCCGACACCATCCCGGTGAGTGGTGCCCGCCTTGCGCCGCGGGAAAAAAAGCCCCGCGCCCCGTTTCCTCAGACCCCTTTGCCTCCCCATCCCTGTGGGACCCCCGCGCCCCGTTTCCTCTGCCAGCCTCCCCCTCTCCCGGTTTTATATCAGCTGCGTGAGTTTTTCGCGCGCTCCCCTCGGCGGGAGTTTGGCTGTCCCGCGCGCGCGGCCAACTTGAGACGGGAGAGGGAAACGTGACGAGGGGAAACGTGTGAAAGCCTCGCCCGCCCGCGCAGCATCCCTTGGAGACCCCACTCTGCCCCCCTACTCTCTACCCAGACTACCCCCCGCTTCTTCCCTCTACCCGCACCCTATCCCTTACCCCACCCCTCTTCCTACCCCCATCCTACCCTCTACCCCCATTCTACCCCCACCCCCTATCCTACCCCCACCCCACCCCCACCCCTACCTACCTCCACCCTCTCTTACCCTCTACCCTCACCCTACTCCACCTGTCCGCCTACCCCCTACCCACCCCTCCTCCTAACACTACCCCACCCTCCTCCTTCCCTCTACCCCCACCCTTCTCCTCCTCCTCCCCTCTACTCCCTACCCAGACTACCCCCGCTTCTTCCCTCTACCCACACCCTATCCCTTACCCCACCCCTCTTCCTACCCCCATCCTACCCTCTACCCCCATTCTACCCCCACCCCCTATCCTACCCCCACCCCACCCCTACCTACCTCACCCTCTCTTACCCTCTACCCTCACCCTACTCCACCCGTCCGCCTACCCCCCCTACCCACCCCTCCTCCTAACCCTACCCCACCCTCCTCCTCCCCTCTACCCCACCCCTCCTCCTCCTCCTCCCCTCTACTCCCTACCCCACCGCACCCCTCCTCCTACTCCCACCTCCTACCCTTTACCCCCTACCCCCCCTTATCAGCCTCCTTATTGACACCCCCACATTTATCTGCCCTCATTCTGCGTTACCTCAGGTGATTAACCTGGGGGGGGGGAGGTGCGTGGTGGAGGTTTTTTTTTAAAAAAAGAGGATCCTTGGCTTCAGCAGGTGGGGGAATACCCGGTAGATCCACTGGTGGGAAACGATCTAGTATGTAAGGCTGTCTTCTGAGTCACTGGGAGAATCTTCTCCTGAAAAGGCAATGCCTTAGCTGGGTATCGACTGATTTCTATCCTGGGCAGAGCTTGTTTCAATGCAGGAGGTACCACAATACAGTGGTACTTTGGGTTAAGAACTTAATTCGTTCCGGAGGTCCATTCTTAACCTGAAACTGTTCTTAACCCGAGGTACCACTTTAGCTAATGGGGCCTCCCGCTTCCGCTGTGCCGCTGCTGCGTGATTTCTGTTCTCATCCTGAAGCAAAGTTCTTAACCCGAGGTACTATTTCTAGGTTAGTGGAGTCTGTAACCTGAAGTGTCTGTAACCCGAGGTACCACTGTAGTTAACAGAATCAGAGAATTGTAGAGTTGGAAGGACCCACGAGGGTCATCTAGTCCAACCCCCTCCAGTGGACGAATATTTTTGCCCAACGTGGGATAGCTAGCTAGCAGGAGTGTCAGCTTGAATAGAGTATTGGGGGTTGGGGCATAATCGATTGCATGACGCAGCACACACGCACTATTTGAATGGCAATGCCCATCAACTTGGGGGGGGTAGCCCCCTCAAATATTTTATGGGGGGGTGTGAAGGGACCTTGGCCCCCACAAGTTGACTCCTGTGCTAGCAAGAAGTGAGCACACTGTCCTGCTGTCATTCTCCATTTATTGCCCGTGAAAAGTATGGTGCAGTTGCAAAACAGTAGCAACAACAGCAAATTGTGATGTGAACTAAATCCATTGGCTGGGATGGGTGTTGGAAAAAAGTTTTGTATTTTTTTGGTCTTGGGATCTCTAGTATCCTGGGATAGGAGGAACAAAAGAATCCTCCCAGTGTTCCCTGCTTCTTGAAAGCATGTTGGTTCATAACTCTGACTTTCTTCCCCAGGTGGCTGTGAGTGGTGATGAGATACAGTAGTTGTCAAAATTAGGAGAGTAAGTAAGCATGGGCAGAAGATGGACTTTGTAGTCCCTCGGTGACTTAATGGCCGATAGGGGTAGCGCCACCTGTTGGGATTTTTGCAAAAGGATGCCAGACCAGATGAGTGTTGGCCAGTTCCAGAAAGCCACATCTCTTGTTGTGCCAGATTCCACTCTCAGGAGTCGCTTTACACAAATTAAGTGTTATGGAGATCCTTTATATGTTTTCCTGCTTTATAAAATGCATCAGTAGACTATGTGGCTGCTGGTTTTTTGGGTCACTCTTTCTCTGCCTGCTGCTTATTCTGCTTCCAGGTGATAGGCACAGGATAAGGTAAAATTTCTAAGACTTGTTGAAGCCAGGAAGCTCTTCCCCTCCAAACTATGCTACTTGCCGAATCTTGATAAGAAGCTGCCTTGATCTACCTAGCGACACTGGCAGGCCCTTTCTACAATGGCTGACCTTCTACATGCCAAGCAGATGCTCTGGTACTAAGCGATGGCCCTTCTGCAAAGTGTGAATCAATGAGGACCCTTTGTTTGGGAATATTCAACCTTACTAACTAGGTGTAGGCTGGGAGAGGCACGAATCAGAGCTTGCTGCAGGATCCTGCTCTGTCCTAGAGTTTATTTCTCATTAGAGGGTCATTGCCTGAAAGCCATCGCCTTGGTGGCAAAGTTGTTCTCATGTTGTGAAGGGCAGGGACTGTTTCTGTCAGAAATGCAGGCCTAGGTCTCCATCTTTGCAGGATAGTGAATGTAGTTTGTGTGGGATGGATATATCTCATGGATCTATCAGCAAAGTGGTTAAGAGGCTGGTCCTTTTTATGTTGCCTCCAGCTGCTTGCATGTTAAAATGGATATTAATGATGGTGGTTGTGTCCAGCTTTGTGCTTCTTAATGAGTTACTTTTTCCAAACGTTTGTATATCATCCTTTTCAAAACTTGGAAAATATTTAATTAGAGAATCTTGAAGTCGGCTATAGCTGTGGAGGGTGAAATAATTGTGGTAGGAGAATGAGGTGAATATTATTTCAGAGACTTTTTTTTTTAGTTAAGTTTGCATTCAATGAAAAGCATCACAGTATTCTCATTTGCCTAGTTTTGAATTCAACAGCTGTATTAAAACTCTTTTTTTTGTGTGGCAAATCTGAGCCAGGGACACTTGGCCCAGTTCACATGTCACATTAAACTACAGTTTAAAGTTATTATTTTAATATGAATGTGCCTAGTGCTAGTAAATGCTGCTCAGAAGTTCTCACTCTAGTCCTCCCTTCTTGCTGTGTCACCAAGAAACAGCCACTCTGACTTCTTGTGATATCTAAACCTTGACTCATGGTTTGTTTCTCTCTAAGCAAACCATGACTGGTAACCAGCAGTTTGTTCTTGGTTTCCTGCTTGTAGCTTGAAGAGAAACAAACCATGATCCGGGGTTCAGACATCACAAGCCAGGTTTTGGGAGAAGAGCAGAGTGAGAACTTTTTAGCAGGGTGGGCGAACACATAGTTTTTAAATACGTTTTAATATGAATTTTCAAACGACTGTATGTTTTATTGTGATATGAGAATTGGACCACTGTATTGATGTGTTCTACAAAAAAAAAAACACTTATGAAAAACAACTTTTTTAAAAAGTTGTTTTGGCTTGTCTTCATGGTACACATTCCCATGGCCTGTGATGGGAATTCATTGGAGTTCATGTTAACAACCCTTTCAGCAAATGAGCAAATAATTTATTGCAGGAAAAATAGAATCTGGTTTGTGTATACTGCTATCCATCCTTTTTTGTTAAGAAAGAACAAAGCGAAGACTTTTGATAAAACTTAGACAGGTGTCATTAAATTTGCAGGAATTTGGTGGATTGGAAAAACAACCAAACCTTTCAAAAATCCAAGTTGTTTTAGCGTTATAGGGAAAATCAAGGCTATCTTGATGTTTCAATCAGTGTTTGAACTCCCATTGTTCTAGGTGCATTTTGCGACAGAGAATTAGCACAAGTAGTTTCTGAGTTCTGGGCGCAGCACCGCGGCTAAGATTTCAGATTAAAACTGCAGAGTGGAAGGAAAGGAGGACCTTTTTCTGCCTCCCCACTTCCAGCTACTCTCTGAAGACTGGAGAAGAGACCCTCTTAAGAATATTAAGGGCGTGGGCAGGGGAAGGACTAGACTACGTGGAAAATGAACATAATATTTTAGCTGCAGTTCATTCATTTTCAGATTTATATTTTTGATATTAAAAAGTGTGCCTAGACATTCCCTTGTTGCGCCCATAACCTAGGTTTAAGGTGCCATTTAGCTCCTAGCTTTCATATTTCTAACACTGGTTTCAATTCTGCTGAAAATAATCATTTTTATGTTTTTAAAGCATGACTTCTAAAATTCAGTAGTTTCAAATGAGAACAGAAAATGCCATAGTGTACTTAAATGAGAACAGGTTTGGGACTCTACAGTCATTTTTGGAGGGGAAGGAGGGGGCATATTTCCACTCTGCATAAAATGAATGTGTTCTAGTTGCTTGAGAAACAAGCAAACAGCAGACTTTGTGAAGGTGCTAGGGCTCCAGCTGTGTATTTTGTCAGTCATGCATATCTGCCTTTGGAAGAAGCTTAGGTTGTTAGTTTTGGCTTTCGCTTTCAGGTTGCCTAGGTTTTAAATGTTGAATGACTGGAAAGGAGTACACAGGGACCAAAGGGAAAGCATTCCACGAAGAAGGGAAGGCGGCTACGATGTGCAGTCTGGGAGCGAGCAGCCTTAGCCTGCAGAACTTCTGCCTGGATCCCTCAACATGGACAGCGTTGTGTTTTAGTTTCTGCCATAGTCCTCCAAAAGTCGAAAAGGAATCTCTCTTTTGGAGCCAGTTGCCCCTTAGCAACTTGTGCGTATGATGTATACATGCTAAGCTCGATACTGTGACGTAGGGAGAGGGTGGAAGCTTAAAATATTATAAATAGATGCCTGAACATTAAAGAATCAAGCTGCATGGATTGTGTTAGTGCAGTGGGCGGATAGTTAACATGAGTCTTTTATTTCCGTCGAACACTTCATAAAGAAATGCATAACTTTTTCATTATTCGATAGATGTCACCATGAAAGAACCAATGTGAACAGTTAATATGCTTCCTTTTAATATGGTGTTTATGCTGTGCGAATATTTTTGCTCTTGACTTCAGAGCTATGAGTTAAAGGGGAAAAATGCTCCCTTTTTAGAAAGGCACCTCCTTTCTAAAAGCTATCCACTTCTCTTTCAGTCCATTACAAGAAATGTGTACTTAATAATAAGAGGAACTATGGAAATTTACTTTGGTATCATGTTAAAATTTAAGTATAGTGCCAATTAGCAAGGGATGGGTTCCTCACCACAAGAGAGAGATGTGGCAGTATTCAGGGTCTATGTTATGATCCATCAAGCTAATAATGGTTTGGTGCTTCCCCCTTCTGGGTTTTCTTTTAACAATGCCATAATAACTGAATTGGACAAACCGTAATTAGTGTTAGTCTTCAAAACGCAATTTGAAACCATGGTTTGAAATAGCAGTGTAAACCAAGGCTTGGACTTGGGAACTGACCATAGCTGCCTTATCAATCACCACTTGAAACTATGGTTAGAACAAATGGCAGAAGAAATTGGCATGTGGGACAGGAAGAAGGATTCTGGTTCAGTCAGATGGAGTCTATGTAGACTCCTTTCTCTTGAGACAGTTCAATTAACAACAAAGAAGAACTGTTGTATGGCATAGGTTTTTTGTGGATTAGAGTCCACAAACTTATCAGAATCTTAGAATGATCCACTTTTGCGAATGTATAATAAGCTTCAGTTGTAGCTTGAAGGGGTGGAAAGCTCTGGGGTTTCACCCCTAGACTCCAAGCTTAGAGGTGGTCCAGACCTCTTCCTTTTGATTTCAGGGGGGGGGGGGGGAAGTGTCTTGTTCTTATGTTTCTGGAAGAACAAATGACCGGACACTCAAGGCAGTTGGTCACCCCATTGTTCCTGGCTGTTTCTGATGCATGTGAAAAGACTGGGATGATTAGCAATGGTTTAAAGTGGTTTTGAATTAAAATGTTTTATTACCTTAAAATATAAAAAAAATTACCCTTGCTGTTTTGCACTGAAGTTTGATGACCCAGTCAACACAATTTCTAGTTACAAGACCGGATATTTACTTTGTGTCCTGCTTTTGTTAGTGGGAGTTGCCACTGTTTTCACCTCTCTCTCTCTCTCTCTCTCTCTCTCTCTCTCTCCCTCTCTCTCTCAGCAAGGTACTTGCCTTTTCAAATATACCAACACATTCCTTTTTTGTTCTCAGAAAAAGCTATGCAAGGAATGGCAATTCACTCATAATGGATTGAGTAGGAGGGTGCTTGAGATTTGTTGAGGCAGACAGAGGGAAATCTGAAGAAAAAGAAGTTGTAGTAGATCAGTTTGCAGATGGCTTTTTACATGATCTGTTATTCCAAAATTTGTTGTTGGCATCTGTCTGTGTTGGGACGCGGGTGGCGCTGTGGGTTAAACCACAGAGCCTAGGAATTGCTGATCAGAAAGTTGGTGGTTCGAATCCCCGTGATTGGGTGAACTCCCGTTGCTCGGTCCCTGCTCCTGCCAACCTAGCAGTTTGAAAGCACGTCAAAGTGCAAGTAGATAAATAGGTACCGCTCCGGTGGGAAGGTAAACGGTGTTTCCGTGTGCTGCTCTGGTTTCGCCTGAAGTGGCTTAGTCATGCTGGCCACATGACCCGGAAGCTGTACGCCGGCTCCCTCGGCCAATAAAGCAAGATGAGCGCCGCAACCCCAGAGTCGGTCACGACTGGACCTAATGGTCAGAGGTCCCATTACTTTCACCTTAGCCTCTTCTTCTCCTCCCAAATATATCCCACAAGGCAGCGGAGGCTTAGGATCAGAGTTTTCCTTCTCCCAGATGGACTCCCTTCCCAGGTTGATGAGCCCCACCTGCCCCTCACTTCCCTCTATAACGTGCAGAAACCACCTTCTTGACCATTGAACCGACTTGGTCTATTCATTCTCCAGAGCCTGTCTTTGCATGCAGGGAAAGTCCCTGACTCACCAAGGGTTTGAGACCCATCGGCTACGCTCACCTGGTTTAGCTGGCCAGTGGAAGTCGTTCCCAGGATGTGACCACTGTCGCATGCTGACAGCTTCTAAGAGCCACAGGTGAGAGCTTAGTGCAGAGTGAATGACCAGACTACCTCAGAAGGAGCATCCCATGCATCCTATTCCAGAATAATTGTGCCTTAACTAGCATCTGACCTTGTTTACAAGGGCTGATAAAAAAGTGGAGGAAAGCTTTCAGAATAAATAGTGGTGGCTTGGCCATTACCTTAGATGTGCAGAGATAAGCCAAACAGGTGCTAGGTTTAGAACGATGCCTAGTACCAACTCCAGCATCTTGTCTTTCTCCACCCTACCTGGAGATGACGGAAACCAAATGTATTGCATGCACAATATGTTCTCCGTTATGGGGTCTTTCCCCACACCTTATGATTAAAGGTATAAATAAATATGAAGTAAGGGCTTGTGCCTTTCTGCATATGCATATTGTAGCCATATTCTGCAAACACCGAAGAATGAATGTGATTGCTAGAATGTGCTATTGGCACAGCATTTGGGGCCCGTTGGTTCTCTGCATTTTGCTTAACCTGGGCATTTTAACGCAACAGACTTTGTGTTTGTTTCTTGCTGACTGCCACCCACGTAATAGAAAATTATGGAAGTCAGTAAAATAAAATAAAAATAAAATCACAAACTGACTGCCTCTGGCGTCACAAGAGCAAGATTATGCCACTTAGCGCGCGCCCCCATCTCTCACTTAACATTTGTGATCTCTGAATAATTTTTGTATCCCTTGAGGGGTGGTCTATATCACCCTTTAAATGTAATTAGCCATAGAACAATGCAGGGTGTTGAACAGACTCACTTAGAACCTGCTCCTGTATTAACAAAAAAAACCCAAAGCCCCAAAGCCAGAGAGGCAGTCTGACTCAAGGCAGGCTTCCTGTGTTCCCTTTACTTAAATAGTTTATTGAATTATATACAGTCTATGGTGTCTGAAAGTTGTTTATCTTACCTAGGAATAGTTTGCTTCACTGTAAATTAAAATAGAACATTTCCTGACTTCCTTCTGTTCCTAGTATAATTTTATTTAGTCCAATTATGGCGCTAATGTGAGCAATTACCTATATGCATAAAGGAGGCTTTCAGTAATCCTTGTGAAAATGATCTGTCACTCAAGCAGCTTATTTGCAGAATTCTGAGGTCTAGCAACGATAAAACCACAAAGTTAAGAGAGAGATACAAACCCAGCGCAATAAAACAAGCTCAGTATAATACTGTGTACAGCACAGAACTGAAAACACCTGCAGGGACAGAGTTTGGTAATATGGCGTCCTGAGCTGACAAAATTTGGTGTGTCCTCCCCCCCCCCCCATATTTCTTATTTTCACAACAATTCCTTTTGGTCCAATTGCTTTTAAAAAGGATCATATCAATAGGTACCCGAATAAATATAGGTGTAGGTGTTGTTGTTTTGTTTTGTTTTATTTTTATTTTATTTTATTTTATTTTATTTTATTATGCACCCCCTTGGCTTGGCACCCTGTGTGTGCGAACCACTTTCACTATCCTAAATCTGGCGAAGAACACCCATGAAATGTGTACATCAAAACTGCCAGCTGTATCATGGGAACTTCAGTTCTTAAAAGACCCTGGAGAACAGAAGAATCTTAAATTAGTGCTAAGAAGGCAACAGTTGGGGAACTTTGCTATGGGACACATTCCATCGTTGAGGGGCTGCTACTGAAAAGGCCTTAAAACTGGGAAACATCATCTATTTGGGTAGAAGGCACAATCTATAGTTTTCTTATAATATGAATATTCCTGTTTTAACAAATGCGTTCTTTTTGTGTACAAATATGTTAACGTTAAAGCCTGTTTTCAATATTGGCAGATGTTTTTATTCAGACTGTCCCTATGGATCGAGATAAAATCTGTTCCCCCTGCAGAAATGATCAATTACTTGTCCTGGTCGTATAAAATTAAGTCGGTCTTGTTCAGTGCATAAGGAGCTGATAGATCTGGGGGAGTATTAAGACCGCTTTGCAAGTTAATGCATAACATTGATTTCCCTTTGTAAGCTGCCTTTTTAGCAGTGTTTGATCTGTATCTCCAGTATTTAACCACTTAGTCCACTTAGAAACAAATTTATTTTGGGAGTTACACTTCAGTTCTCAGCAGGTATTACAAGAATGCCTTGCTTTGGTCTCTTAAGGGTGATGTAGTTGGGACTCTCTTAACAAGAAATCTTGAATGGGCCGCAGAAGCACATGCTCACTACCTGTGCAGATCAAATTTCCATCCTAAGATTCTTAAACAAGGATTTTGAGCTATACTGGTTACGCAGCAAGCTTGTGGCCAAAATACAGTGGTACCTCGGGTTAAGTACTTAATTCGTTCCGGAGGTCCGTACTTAACGTGAAACTGTTCTTAACCTGAAGCACCACTTTAGCTAATGGGGCCTCCTGCTGCTGCTACGCCGCCGGAGCACGATTTCTGTTCTCATCCTGAAGCAAAGTTCTTAACCTGAAGCACTATTTCTGGGTTAGCGGAGTGTGTAACCTGAAGCGTATGTAACCTGAAGCGTATGTAACCCGAGGTACCACTGTAAGCAGTCTGGCAACCATGGAATTTGCTTGGTCACTTGAATTTTTTCCCTGCCTCACTTGCATTCTGAAAAGTGCTCAAGGCTTGGGGGTTAACCACTTGTAAACTGGTCATCCGCATTAGCAATCCAGAACACATGATAAAAGAGCAGAGGAGGTATATTCCCTGAACTATAGAGTCTTGTGAGTAGAGTTGTCTTTAAAGAACCAGGTTTTCAGATTAGAAGTTTAATAATATTTCAGATTAGTGTTGCACATGGTGTGTGTGTGTGTGTGTGTGTGTGTGTGTGTGTGTGTTGTGTGTATTGAAAGGTTTAAATATTTGCTTATGTCTAGCATTTGTAACATTCAGTTATTCTTTCCTGTTTCAATAATAACATAAAATGTAAATGTAGTCTAGACTTCATTTCAGACCGAGGAGATGTCTGCTGAAATATACAGGACAGAGGGGAAGGCTAAAGATGGGATTTTGCTCTCCAGCATTAGCCATGTGGCAAATTGGTACATCTGCATTTCCCCTTGGGCAGCCTTAACCACAGTTAGAGCAGATGCGCTTCCACCCTTCTGCTTTAATCACAGTTAAGGAAGTGGATGCAACTCTCTGGTCTGCTCCGGTTTCTTAAATTTGATTGACACCCAGCATTAAATTGGTACAGAGCTACAAGAGACAAGACTGAAGCAGTGAATTGAACTGTTTTGGCAGGTTCAGGTTACAATGAACTCTTCTTCAGACAGGAGTTAGTCTCAGGTTATACTAGCAACCTCTCAAGCTCTCAACACAGATGGTTTCCCTCTCCTTCCAGACCCTGGACAAGTCTGGATTTATCCATTGCAGAATGGTTAGCTTAGGTAAGTAAATACATGCAGGGAAGTCTCTATCTTAAATTTGATCTTGGAAAACTGTGGGTTAGGTGGGAAGCCCCACATTGCGTGAAATCTTGATGTCTTGGTTGTGTTCACAAGCCACTGCAAAGCCAGTTGTACTAATTCTGTATCTGCATACTAAATAGGGCATTCTTAGATGGATAAAAGTATATTTGAGCTCTCAGATTTGCTCCTGTGTGCATTTCCCTCCATTTTAATAATTTTATATTAAATTTAAAAATTTAAAACCTTAATTTTTGCTTCCTTAAATCCCTCATTGCTGGCTTTTATTTCTGCTTGCTGACCTGGGGTAAGAAGGCAGGATTCCATTTCTAAGGTGCCGGTAAACAATGCCAGTGTGAAATTCACGTGCTGTAAAAGGATGCCTGTGGTCACATTTTGTTTCCATCTGACTAATTCAATACACTTGCTGTGTAGTGTCCTGCCTTCTTTGCTCCCCCTTTCTGTACAGTCTCGTGCACACACAGTGTACATTGGCCTTGCAAGTTGCCGTTGTGAATAATTTACTTTAAGGAACAAGAGATCGAAGTCAATACAGTTCTAAAAGACTCAAGTTACACCTTACAGATAATGGCTACTTGCGCATTGCAAACCTGTGTACGTTTACGCAAGGGAGCCATGTCGTACAAAGGGCTGTTCTGAACTGTGCTCAGTTGATGCATACATATGCCAGTGTGTCCTTCCTTTAGCTTGCTTTTACACATACTTGTATGGAGTGATTTGAGGGTCTGTCACAGTGCATACCTTTGTGTACTATAATTTTAGTATCGTTGGGATTAATGCACTGACTTTAGTTGGGGAAGGGGCAAGAATCAAAGGCAGTTGCAATTTAGTCATCAGCCTCGTAAATTAGCCGATGAAAGGTCTTTTGCATGATAATGAAATAAATAATGGATCACTGGTGATATAAATTCAAACGTTGTTTTTGGTAGCTATGCTCTTTTCAAAGGCCTTCTGCATAATAATAATGTGTTTTGAAGGGTTTTTCTACTTGAGAAACTATTAGTAATAGAAATTCCCCCTCCCCACCTCTAAATCTAACAAAGCCTCTCTTCCTCTGACCCCACCTTCAATGAATTGGAGCAAGAATATAAAGGACTGGCTTCACTGTTTTAAAAACAAAATGGCATGTCTGGCTCAAAATAGTTAACCTTGTGCCCCAGCACACGTGCTGGGTTCCACCCAACTTTTGGGGGGGCTTGTTGCACATGTGTGATGTCATGCATTGGAAGGGGGACCAGCAGGGTCCGTTGTGGCCACAGGAAGGCCCGATGGGAACTGCTGCGGGAGGGCCCGACGGAGACTACCGCAGCTATGCGGGACCTGCCCCCCGCTTGAATTTTTTGGGGTGCCTCGGCCTCCCCGGTCCCCCCAATGGCACCCCAGTACCTGGTAGAATTTTTGCGTGTATTTGAGCAGAAGTCTCAAGTGATTCAGGAAAGTCATGCAGGCAATCCCAGAGTGTCTTCCTGTTTGTAAGGCTTCCTCTGTCTGTTGGGTATGTCTTTCAAACTTTTTTGGAAATACTCTTTGTGAGAAATGTTCCCTCGCAAGCCTAGGTGAACTGATATTTTTGGCCTCAATATAAGACCCTCTTTGGGACCCTTTAACATACGTACAATGAACACGCAGGATGAAGAAGCTTCACCCCTAAGACTGTACATTCGGACTGCGTAATTTGGAACTTGGTGAAAGTCAAAGCTCCCAATTGTGTATAGAGGTCCCTACTTGCATTTCCTTGTGTGCTCACAGGTTCTCTTCAGATTTTTAAATGTACATGCTTAGGTGTGAGGTGGAGTCTTGCCGCCACATTCCTCTTTTCCAGCCCATGCACTTTTGTTCAGACTACACTGAAAATCTGAAGAGGGTTCATGTATTGACTTAGCACATATTAAAGTTGGGGTATGTAATTCAAATATGGGTGTTATGCCTAGACTGTGAGGGATAAAGTATTCCTCCTTTGAGAACCATGTTCACGAATTCTTAGGTTTTTTGCATGTATCCCCCTCAACAAAAAACATATACAGTACACTACACTAACAAAGTTCATTTGAGAAGAGAAGCCAAATTCTGCAGCCAATGTAAAACGCACACATGGATTTGCTTGAATTTTCTGATTTTGCATCATGTATTCCATAGGTTTTGCTGCTTGACACCATTTATTCTTTTAGTCATATGTAGGGGCAATGATTTATGAGAGACAGTAAAACCTCACCCTCCCTGTAGAGCAGTGTGTTCAACAACTTACATTCAAATAATTTATTTATTAAACCAGTCAATGTATCTCTCAAGCAAAGTTACACAGACTTCCCTGGCTTCAAACGTCTCCAGGCATTACAGAAACTCTCTCAGATATAACTTTACAAACAAAGAGGCTACTGGTTTTTGTGTGTGTGCTATTGTGAAAACGTAGCATTACCTACATGGGCAATGTTCTTAAATCTTTGTCCTTAGCCCTTTTAAATGGGAGGACTAATACTGACATACCAGTGTACAGCTGGGTTCATAATATTTTGCATGTGTCCCAGTTCTCCAAACAATGAGAACTCAAGGGGCACAGTGTACGCAGGTCCTATTCCCTTGGAACGAGGTCACTGGAGGAGACTTGCTAGTGTTTGTGGTGTTTGTTGGTGATTTATATACACATATATATACAGGTTGAGCATAGGGGAATATATACCACTTAACACAAGCAAATGCCCTAAATTCACTGCTCCCTCTTCAAATTCCGAGTGAAACCACAAGCTCCTGTAAGATCATTGCATAAAGCAGTCCACCTTTTTCTGTATGTCTTCTCTCAGCTTAATTTAAACTGCTTCTTTCAAACAGACACTGAGTTTGCACATTCTACAGCCAATTTCCAAATTGCTCTCCCCGCCAGAAGGGTCTCCAACAAGTCTCTTGTAAAAGGTAAAGGGACCCCTGACCATTAGGTCCAGTCGTGGCCGACTCTGGGGTTGCAGTGCTCATGTCGCTTTATTGGCCGAGGGAGCCGGTGTACAGCTTCTGGATCATGTGGCCAGCATGACTAAGCTGCTTCTGGCGAACCAGAGCAGTGCACGGAAACGCCGTTTACCTTCCCACTGGAGCCATACCTATTTATCTACTTGCACTTTGACGTACTTTCGAACTGCTAGGTTGGCAGGAGCAGGGACCGAGCAACGGGAGCTCACCCCATCGCGGGGATTCGAACCGCCAACCTTCTGATCGGCAAGTCCTAGGCTCAGTGGTTTAACCCACAGCGTCACCCGCGTCCCTAAGTCTCTTGTACTTGGCCATTATTATTTTTTACATAACAAACGAAGACCTGTTTGGCAGGTTTGACCAATTACATAGTCCTTCACAGCCTCACTTTTTAGAATTTACATTTTTAATATACTGAAATAAGAGGTTTGGGGACCCTCAGTTGGCAATCACAATTTAACAGAACACCTTTTATGCAACCTTATGTAAACATAGCATATATCTAAGAATTTCCCTTCCTGTTTCCATTTTTGAAAAGTTACTTTCTTTTATGGAGCTAGGGTGGTCATATTCTCTGATCACTGCGCAATTGAAGAGGATGATTGATTTTTTACAGTACCGGAATGCTTATCCACCATAATGGCCTTTTGTCCCTCCATCAGGTTCCATAGGGTTGGAATATAATTTCACAAGATATTGATGTCCTTGAACCTCAGATATTTATCTGAGATATATTAAAATGGCTGACAGTCTCTGCCCCAAAGTCTGTAATTTTAGGGCAGGACCACATGTGATCTCTGAGTGGGTAGCACATGGGCAACATTGCCTGTGCTTCATATCTTTTTGGGAAAGCCATTGTGGGGTTTGGTAAGCTCTGAATATGACTCTTCGCTGTATAAGGCCCAGCCTGATACCCAGAGAGATCAATCTCATGGATGCCAGCATTGCTTTCCAGGTACCTGATATTCCATTTGACCAATCCTCTCTCTTTTCATTGAGGTCAAGTTGTCTTGTCCATTAAGGTTCAATGTAAATATGTTATTGACTTAGGACGTTGTCAAAGGTTATTAAAGACTGGGGTTTCAGAGGCACTCGGTGCTTCCAGCTCAAATAATGGGTGTTTCAGTTGTATATGTAGCTAGCCTGTTGACTGTGGGAGGCCAAGAGGTTCCACTAGATTAGGAAAAGAGAGAAATCACTGGAAGCAATCAGTTGGTCCACGTCCTAACTTTACAACTATAGTATCTCTGGAGTTGGAAGAACTGCTCTATATTCTTATAGCCAGGGCTTTTTTTCAGCCAGAACTTGCTGAAACTCAGTTCCGGCCCCTCTCAGGTGGGTGCCATTGCCATTATAAAAGAACAAGCGATTTCCAGCACCTCTTTTTCTAGAAAAATAGCACTGCTTATAACTATATAAATCATAGGCCAGAATGACTAAGTTGTATTTTTATTGCAGCACCAAAGTCATGCTGTGGTAGAAAAATGACTTTATCACTTTTCTTTGCATTGTTTCCATAGAGGGGATTGTGATATTTGCAGTGACCTTGCCTATAAGAACTTCTGAGTTAGAGATGTGCATGACGTTCTTTGAAATCCAGAAACATGCTGGTTTCTATTTTAGAAGAGTTTGAATTCCCTTCCTGCCTTTTATTTTGGGAAGAAGAAGAAGAAGAAGAGTTTGGATTTGATATCCCGCCTTTCACTCCCTTTAAGGAGTCTCAAAGCGGCTAACATTCTCCTTTCCCTTCCTCCCCCACAACAAACACTCTGTGAGGTGAGTGGGGCTGAGAGACTTCAGAGAAGTGTGACTGGCCCAAGGTCACCCAGCAGCTGCATGTGGAGGAGCAGAGACGCGAACCCGGTTCCCCAGATTACGAGACTACCGCTCTTAACCACTACACCACACTGGCTCTCGATGCGGGAGCGGATGCTTTGTTTGAATTGACTCCTTTTCTTGGGAGAAATATCTTTTCTATATTGATGTAGGCTGCTGGGTGAAAATCAGCAGGTCTCGAGGGCTGTCTCCCACCAATAGCCTTAAAAGTAGAACAGGGTACTGAAATGTGTGTTTACTTGTTTTGTTTCCGTAAACTTCCAATTGCCGTGTTGTGGCCACTGGGTTTTAACATACAAGTGTTCCAAAAGTCCTCTGTGGACAACTTTTGTTTGTTCAGATCTATGGTACTTGGTTTTATAGTGTGTTTTTCTCCACCAGAAAATATTCCAATGAAAGTTAACCAAAAAACCCACCAAGCTCAACATGGCACAAACACTTGGAAACAGACTTTAAATTCACACCATTGGCTTTCTAATACATATTTTGGATCTCTCTGTGCCATTCAAATGCCTCACAGTCTATTTTGGGTGCGAGACAACACATGTCAATATCTCCCTTGAAAATTGGGGTTCCAAACTGGACAAACGTATTCCTGATATAAAGGGACATGTTAAGTGATATGAATATGCTAATAGGGATCAGTTAACAGCAGCTCTTTGGTCTGAGTGTCTTAGTTTTTGTCTATTAGGCCCACCCAACTTGCAGAAAATGTTCACTCGAAGTTCGTGGGGAACAAAAGTTGAATGGCTATCTTTTCTTTTGCAGAACCTCGAGGATTTTTTGACCACTCTTTAAACTGCATAACGGAGAGAAGACTACAAGGCACTTGCCCACCAATTGGCCGTGGAAGTTTTGGGAAGCCGTTCTTTGGTACAAACTGTTTCAGTTCCCCATTTATTAATTCCCGGACTGGTTTCCACACAATTCATTCCGAGAACAGCCCAGTGAAGCCGAGGATTGTCACTGTCGTAAAACCTTGTGGGCACACAGTGAGGAAGATAACGCTGCTCCTAAATCGCCGATCTGTCCAGACATTTGAACAACTGATCGCTGACATCTCAGAAGCCCTTGGGTTTCCACGCTGGAAGAATGACCGCGTGAGAAAACTGTATAATTTGAAGGGAAGGGAAATCCGAAGTGTTTCTGACTTCTTTAGAGAAGGCGATGCCTTTATAGCTATGGGAAAGGAACAGCTAACCCCAAAGAACCTGGAGGCTGCAATCCAAGAGCTTTTCCCTGACAACCCCTATGCACCCCGCACTGGAACCACACAAAACTGGGAACAAACTCAGAAACCCAAAAACAGGCTGTATGAAAAGTCTTCCAAACTGGAAAAGAGCCTTGAGCCCATAGCTGCCAAGAACTGTCTGGATGCCATATCTCCTAAACTAATTAATAGGCATGAAGTGAAAGTTCAGACCAAGGTCAGGCAAGAGGAGAAGGTGAGGACCAAAAAGAGGTGGGTCAGAGATAACTGGAATGAAGAGCAAGATGCAAAGCCATCTAGAAAAGCGAGAGAATGCGAGAGATATTTTAATCAAGAGAAATGCCTTGAAAGTGAAGCAGAAAAGAGTTCGGACATGATGGTGAGATGTGAAAAGTGCCAAAGAGAAAGGGAACTCAGGCAAAAATTGCAGAAGGAAAGACAGACTGATCTTCCATTTGAGAGCAGGGACTTGAGTATGAGAACGTGTCAGAGATATCATGTAGAAAGGCCAGTGAAATTGAGAAATTGCAGGAAATTGTCAGAAAGCTCCGCGGAAGAGGGCAAAATTACATGGAACGATGCTGCTTGTCAAAGTACCTGGACAGCCCCTCTCAGCCATGCCAAAAAAGACTCAGAGAAGCTAAAAAGGAGCGTTGACAGAGAGCAAACTCTGGAAAGCCATAAGAATCATGATGAAGAACTGGGAAAGATGAAGCCCATAGAAAGTCAGCGTACCATAGTAGGAGATGCCTATGAATTGAAGAAGGAGCACCGAAAATGTTCTAGAGTGAACCAAAGCTGTTGGTTGATCAAGGGTTCTCGGACAGATAATGAAAAACCATTGAAAATTCAGGGGAATAAGGAAGAGGTACGGAAACCGAAGGAGGAAGCTAATGGAGGAGAAGAGAAAGTAGGTCATAGTGAGGGTGAACCGATTAGGCATGAAAAGGAGGAAGAACATAAAGTCATCAAAGAGATTAACAAGACGCGTAGGGCCAGTGACGCGAAGCTGAGACATGATGTCTCAAGCAGAGCAGATGTGGAGAAGAGCTATGAGATTGGCAGAACCATTGGAGATGGGAACTTTGCTGTTGTGATGGAGTGTCATCACCGCAACACTAATCAGAACTATGCTATGAAAATCATCGATAAGTCCAAGCTGAAAGGGAAGGAAGACATGCTTGAAAATGAAATACTGATCATAAAGAGCCTTTCCCACCCAAACATTGTCAGTTTGATTGAAGTATTTGAAACCGATGCAGAAATATACCTAATCTTGGAGTACGTTCCCGGTGGGGACCTGTTTGATGCCATAATCGAGAGTGTGAAATTCACAGAACGTGATGCTGCTCTCATGATAACTGATCTGTGCGAAGCTCTCGTCTATATTCACGGCAAGAACATTGTCCACAGAGATCTTAAGCCAGAAAATCTTCTGGTAAGTATTGGGAAATGTGCCGGGAGGGGGGCGGGGCGGCGTCTATGGGGTTGTTGTTTTTATTTTGATTATATATTTTGTGGTATTATATTCTGATTTAGTTCTGTGAACCGCCCTGAGACCTCTGGGTCTAGGGTGGTATATAAATTCAATCAAGCAATCAATAATAATAATAATAATAATAATAATAATAATAATAACTGAGGGGTTGTACTTGTTGGGTATGCTCTTTTTGGACAAAAATACTAATTTTCAGGAAATGGATATACACTGTAAGGTGTGAACGTTAGGATGCTATTTCTGGAATGAGAGCCGCAGAATAACTTCTAATATCCTTGCTTGGGACACAACTGACACCATTTTGCACTCAGAGTTGTACGTTGCAAAAATGCAATGTGCAGTGCTTATAAACCACCCTTGCAAATAAGTCCACAAAAACTACTATCCCACAAAACCCTTACTGGCCTGCCTATCCATGCTTCTGTTGCTAATTAGTGTCAGCTATAGTGACACCTTGAAAATTAACAATAATCAACCCTCTTTCAGTATACAAAACTTCCTCTGTGCCCTCTCATCGGTAGGTAACTTGTACCTTTCTCTGTTATTCAGGCAAGTGACTTTTTACAAGCTTGCTATAAATACCTGTTTGATATGGGTATATGCTGCATGGAGCTTCTGACCGGCTGTGGTTCTCTCTAGTTTGTGCACATATGGAGAGATTCTTAAGTCTTCAGGCCCTATAATGTGAAGACTCCCTCAGAGCGCATTATTCTAGGTCTTGCCTAGCTATACTAGATGCTGGGGGTACAGTTTTTGTTTGTTACCATATTACATATATTTGTGTTCTTATATTGTAAATCACCCTGCCATCCTCGGATGAAGGGCAGCATAGAAGTTTAAATAACAACAACATTAACAACATCAGTTTTATTGTTTGTACCCTGTCCATCCGACTGGGTTGCCCTGGTCACTCTGTGCGGCTTCCAACATACAGTAGAACCTCTACTTACGACCGCCTCTACTTGGGCCCGATCCAAGTTGTGACCGCGGCAACCCGGAAGTAAGTACCAGGTTTGCTGCGATACAGGCGCATGCGCACAACGACGCTTCTACCAGCGACCTGTTTCGCCTAAAGGACGGGCCGCCGGAACGGATTATGGTGGTAAGTAGAGGTTCCACTGTATATAGAAACATAAAACGTTATACATTAAAAAGCTTCCCTATACAGGGCTGCCATCAGATGTCTTCTAAAAGTTATGCAGTTATTCATCTCCTTGACATCTGTTGGGTGGGCATTCCACAAGGTGGGTGCCACTACCGAGAAGGCCCTCCCTGTAGTGACACTTCTTGAAGTGAGGGAACCACTAGAAGGCCCTTGGTGGTGTTTAAAGGTTTAACTTAAAGGTAAATAGGCACATTAAACAGCTTTTGTGTGGCTCCCTGGGTTTGCTTTTGTTCTTTAACGAAAAATCCACAGGTTTCATAAGAGAATAACTTGTACTTGCAAGGAAAAATATACTGACTAGAACAGATACCTTATGTACTGGCACCTCATTTGTTTTTGTCTCTTTCTTTTTAGTCTGTGATACTGAAGTTCAGTGATTACATCTCTTTTCCTCCCACATATCTCCTCTCAAACTCGCAGCCGTACTTCTTCTTCCACCCCCTTTCTCTGAGATTGATTTTCTGTACCCAGGGCTTGAAAATTCAAGGAAGCTAAAACAATAAATAGCAGATTTATAGCCTCCCTCGGACATAAAACCTTCCTAGCGAACCAGAAACCTGAACGTCCCCCATCCAAAACACATACTTGATGCATCTGAGTAAGAAGTGTTGATTTAACTGTTTGTTGTGACAGGAGGCAGAGCAGGCAGATTCTGGTAGTCTCCAGCTCTCGTCTAGGCTGGCTTCCCCCTCCCCTCTGCTGAAAACAGCCACATAGGTAAATTGAGGTGGTGGGGCCTTTCTAGTGGTTAGCAGCGAAGATGGATGTGCAGTTGGGGACCAGGAAAAGGAAGACAGGAGGCAAGGACCACCACCAGCAGCCTGCCTCATCCCAGTAAAAGCACCCTTGGTGTAGAACTGGGAAGGCCAAGGTATTTGAGGTCTATCCGTGATGGGAGTGGGCATGGATATGTGGGTAGATGGGCAGAGGTTGACAAGTGGAACCAGTTGTTTCTGATGAGGCATTTGCCTGTAGTTCTTCTCTCCGTTATATGAATATATTTGCTAGTTAAAGTCCCTCCTTCCGTCTAGTTTGCCTGATTCTTCCTTTGAATTTGAATCACCCGACACCACCTGCTTAATAAACGGTCTGATAATGCTTTTGCATAGCATTTCAGCCCCTTGCCCACGCAAAATTGTACAAAAGAGAATGCAAAGGATGAAACACATTGCCAGTTATAGAATCATAGAAATGTAGGGAACACTGAGGGTCGTCTAGATCCACCCCTGCAATTCAGGAATCTCAACTAAAGCATCCAGGACGGATGGCCATCCAACCTCTGCTTGAAAACCTCCAAGGAAGGAGAGTCCACCACCTTCCACACTTGAGATTAATTTGCATTGCATAAGCACACTTCAGTTTCTTTGACAATAGCAAGTTGGAAATGGAGATTACACCTAGATGCTAATAGAAGCTTAAGCGGTTATAGAGAAAAGAATACAGTGGTACCTCAGGTTAAGAACTTAATTAGTTCTGGAGGTCTGTTCTTAACCTGAAACTGTTCTTAACCTGAAGCACCACTTTAGCTAACGGGGCCTCTTGCTGCCGCCGTGCCGCCGGAGCACGATTTCTGTTCTCATCCTGAAGCAAAGTTCTTAACCCGAGGTACTATTTCTGGGTTAGTGGAGTCTGTAACATGAAGCGTATGTAACCTGAAGCATTTGTAACCCGAGGTACCACTGTATTGACAAGGCTTTGTGCTGTTCCATTGGTTTTATGCAGGCCTGGGAATATAGAGGGAGTCTAGTTCCTGCAAATGTTTTGAAATAATAATGTAGTATTGCCATCTTGTGTTGTAAAGAGATACAGCATAGAGAAATGCAAAGATTTGAAGCGTGCAGCCGTGGGCACTTGTTCTTTCCCTGAAATCACTAGTGACCTGCTAACCAGGTTACTGTAAAGACTTGCACATAAATTCATACTGTAATTTGGAATATAATTCTGTCATTTGAGATATAGTTATGATATAAGTAAAAAAACCTGCTCCTTTTCCCTTATGGGATACCCAAGAGCCCATATAGAGTCCTTTTGTAGGTTCTCTATCGGTAGGAGAAAATAACACGAGACCAACCAGAGAATATTGAGAAGCAAAGCAGCTAGTAAGCCTGATCTTTATTAACTGTTGCAACAGGGTGATCCCCCACGCGCAGGAGAGAGGAGGAGGAACCCCAAGCCATGCGCGCAAGCCCTTATATAGACTTTTTAAAAAAATTTTTTTATAAAGTATTTATTGAAGTTTAAACATTGCAAAAAAAACAGAAGAAAAACAAAAGAAAAATATGAGCAATAAACAATTACAAAGCCTCGAAAACAAAAATAAATACAATAGTACAAAACATCAACAATACAAAAAGAAAAAGAAAACAAAACAAAAGCATTTAAAGAAAAAAAGAAAAACCCAAAAGAGAACAAACGAACATACAAAAGAACCACATATTTTCATATCCTTATCTTTCATTTGCTTATTTCCTCGACTTCCTCACACCTCCTTTTTTTGTATTCTAGTTCAATTAAATATTCCAGCAAGTCCTTTCCCTCTTTCACAAATTTAGTTCCATGATTTAACTTAACATAGTTTTTAGACTTAAATTTACCTCTTTACCCAATGTCAATCTATTCATACTTGATTCTTTATAATATTTCTACCAAAGTCATATAACTTCTTTCCAGCATCTTTCTAACATTCATTAAGTTTAGAATATTTCTGTAAATAAGCTTTGAATTTTTTCCAATCTTCTTCCACCGACTCTTCTCTCTGGTCTCGGATTCTGCCAGTCATTTCCGCCAGTTCCATGTAGTCCATCAGCTTCATCTGCCATTCTTCCCTGGTAGGTAGGTCTTGTGTCTTCCAATGCTTTGCAATGAGTATTCTTGCTGCTGTTGTAGCATACATGAAAAAAACTCTGTCCTTCTTTGGCACCAATTGGCCCACCATGCCCAGGAGAAAGGCCTCTGGTTTCTTTAAGAAGGTATATTTAAATACCTTTTTCATTTCATTATAAATCATCTCCCAGAATGCCTTAATCTTTGGGCATGTCCACCAAAGGTGAAAGAATGTGCCTTCAGTTTCATTGCATTTCCAACATTTATTATCAGGCAAATGATAAATTTTTGCAAGCTTGACTGGTGTTATGTACCACCTGTAAATCATTTTCATTAAATTCTCTTTTAAGGCATTGCATGCCGTAAACTTCATACCAGTGGTCCATAACTGTTCCCAGTCAGCCATCATAATATTATGTCCAACATCCTGTGCCCATTTAATCATAGCAGATTTCACCATTTCATCCTGAGTATTCCATTTCAATAGCAAGTTATACATTCTTGACAGATTCTTAACTTTAGGGTCCAACAATTCTGTTTCCAGCTTTGATTTTTCCACTTGAAAACCTAATTTTTTGTCCTGATTATATGCCTCCATTATTTGATAATAATGGAGCCAATCTCGCACTCTGTTTTTTAATTTTTCAAAGCTCTGTAATTTTAATCTGTCACCCTCTTGTTCCAAGATTTCCCAATACTTCGGCCATTTGGCCTCCATATTGAGTTTTTTCTGGGCCTTTGCCTCCATAGGTGACAGCCATCTTGGTGTTTTATTTTCTAACAAATCCTTATATCTTATCCAGACATTAAACAGTGCTTTTCTTACAATATGGTTTTTGAACGCTTTGTGTGCTTTGACCTTATCATACCACAAATATGCATGCCAACCAAATACATTATTGAAACCTTCCAAGTCCAAAACGTCCGTATTTTCAAGAAGCATCCATTCTCTCAGCCAGCAAAAAGCAGCTGATTCATAATAAAGTTTTAAGTCTGGCAGGGCAAATCCACCTCTTTCTTTAGCATCAGTTAAAATCTTAAATTTTATACAGGGCTTCTTGCCCTGCCAGACAAATCTGGAAATATCTCTCTGCCACTTCTTGAAACAGTCCATTTTGTCCAAAATTTGCAGTGATTGGAAGAGAAATAACATTCTTGGCAATACATTCATTTTTATCACAGCAATTCGGCCTAGCAACGATAACTTCAAATTTGACCAAATTTCTAAATCTTTTTTCATTTCAGTCCACTTATATAGACATTTTTAATTGCCTGCCCTGGAGTCCAACACCACCCCCAGAAACATCATACATACATACATCACAGAAGGGGTGTAGCCCAAGATCCCCCAATACATCATACCTACATCACAGAAAAGGCGGTCTACAACAGAAATCTGAGTGCATTGTTTATCTACTGTCTGGCAAGTTACCTGATTGCATTATCTGGGTTTTGGCCACTCTTTTGTTACTCAGTTCTGAATCCAGGTCACAGGCTCACACCCTATTCATATCTTAAATGTGCCCTTAAGACAGGATTTGTGAAAGAGGCAATGGGGAGATTTCCCATTTCCTTCGACCTTGCAGAGAAATATTTGAGGTCATTTTGGGAGAGAGAAAATGGTTTCAGGACTTTTCTGTGGGTTTCAGACAGGTGGTTTACATATTTGTGTTTGCTTAGTACTTTTATGAACATTTATTTTATATATAAGATGTCAAAATTCTTATAACAGTTACAAGGACCTACCTTGTACAAATGATTCATCTAGCAGCTCATTATAGCCTACTCTGACTGAAATTAGTCTCCACAGAATCCTAGGGAGATGTTTTCCCCAATATGCTTTTTATCTGGAGTCCAGAGATTGAATCTGGGACCTTTTCATATACAAAGCTTTACCACTTAGGACTAAGCTATGATCATTGCTCCAGAACACTGTCCAAGGTATTAAAACCCCCGCTAGGAAAGGCCTGATGAAGTATAGTCGCTTACTTAAACTACAGGGTCAGTGTTAATAATAATAATAATAATAATAATAATAATAATAATAATAATAATAATAATAAATGGGCAGGGGGGAATCGTATCTGTGGACTTTTTGTGAACCAGCAAAGATATTTATAACCGCTTCATGACATCGCAGTGTGTGGCAAGGGAAAACTCACAAGTGACAGCCAGCTATATATGATGTGCTTTTCCCCACCTGCATGTGCTGTAGAAATAAATGCTACTCTTCCTTTGGAAAGCCCGTGTTAAGTTTGTGTTAAGGCAAAAGTTATTTGTTTTCTTATATTCTTAAGGTGCAGCTTGTTCTGAATTTTTTTTTGTTTCTGCACAGGTCCAGCGTAATCCAGACAAAACTACCACATTGAAACTAGCAGATTTTGGCCTTGCAAAACAGGTGACCAAACCCATATTCACCGTGTGTGGAACTCCAACTTACGTTGCTCCTGAAATACTGGCTGAGACTGGTGAATATAAAGTTTAACTCTCCAAGTAACCTAGTGCATTGTCCTATGATTCAAATACTTGTTAGATGCAGTATTGAACAAGAAATATAATTTTTCCCCCAGCAGTTTGCTGTCTTCTGGATGAGAGCTTGTACAGGTTAGATAAATATGCTCTAGGATATTGGGATCACCACTAACTTCTTTTTACCTTTTTATGTATCCCAGTTCTCCATATTCAGTTCCTTAATAGTGTTAGAATTGATGGACAGGCCATACTGGGTTTCTTTTGAAAACCTGTTTGAAAACCACTGCTCTGTAAGCTGTAGGGCAATCTTCCCTCTTGGCTTTGTAGCATGAAAGCTTAGGTTGTGATGTTCTAAGAAAGGGTAGAAACCTGAAGCAGGTCATACCTTCCTTGCTTTCTAGCAAAGTCCAGGGTGGATTGCATCTTGGAAGAATGCAGTCACTGGATTCCTCCCCCCCCCCCTTTCCGGGGAAGTGACAGCACCCTCACTGCTCCATCATCCTAATGTGATTTGGAAAAAAGAGAGTTTTAAAAACTGCTGCTTATTCTTACGATGATTCCCTGCACATCCTATTTCTTTGCTAAAGGTGGTGTTGGTATTAGTAAATCTTTCAATACAGCATCAGCAGATTCTTTGCACACAACTTTTGTGTATGTTTACTTATAGAACAGGTTATTGTGTGGTGTGGTAGTGTAGTGGTTAAGAGCGGTGGACTCGTAATCTGGTGAACCGGGTTCGCATCCCTGCTCCTCCACGTGCAGCTGCTGGGTGACCTTGAGCTAGTCACACGTCTCTGAAGTCTCTCAGCCTCTGAAGTCTCTCACGGAGTGTTTGTTGTGGGGGATTGCTAGCCGCTTTGAGACTCCTTCGGGTAGTGATAAAGTGGGATATCAAATCCAAACTCCTCTTCTTCTTCTTGTTATTGGTGCTGTCCCGGGAATGGGAGATGAGAGAAAAGCTAGAGAAAGTTTAATGGGGATTCCCAAGTTTAAAAAGATTAAGAAGCACACAGACTGCACTGCTATTGTCAGGATGCTGTCATCGGCTCCCGGCTGGTTGCCCAGGAAAGTAGAAAGACAAGGAAAAGTTTCTTACCGTCTTTGCAGGGAGAGGCTGTAGAACCCAGCCTCTTGGATAATGGCGTTGCTCTGAGTGAATCTCCACCCCTCCGTCTCTCCCTCTTCCTCATTTGTCATCATCATCACCGCCTCTACGGGTGCTGCTAAGTGCCCTCTGTCTTTGAGCTCTTTGCTCTCCTACTTTCAAGGCTCGCCGGGTTCTGGGAGATGGAGGGTCTGGAATCATTTCTAATGACAACGTGTCAGCCGGGTGTTGCTCTGGCTCTCCCATGGTTTCCCAGCTTTTCCCCTCATCTTCCTCTGAGCTGCCACCTCCCTCAAACCCCTGTTGTAAATCTATACTGTCTTCCTCTTCCTCCTCCCTGGAAGGGTCATTCCTCCTCTGCCCAGTCCCTGACAACTGTGCACCCTTACATTTGAGTAAGTCCCATTGAAGACCAATGTAGCTTACGTCTAACTAGGCATGTATGTGCACAGTGTAATCTCTCTGCCATTTGAAAGGAGATTTTTCATTTTACTCCAATATTTCATTTACGTTTTTTAATGAAAGCGGCTGTTCCTTATAAACTAGTTGCATATGTTAAAGATTCTGGATTTATCTTTCTGCTCCCATAGGCTATGGACTAGAAGTGGACATGTGGGCTACCGGCATTATACTCTATATTTTGCTTTGTGGATTCCCCCCCTTCCGGAGTCATGAAAGAGATCAAGAGGAGCTGTTTCGAATCATACAACTTGGGCATTATGAATTCCTCTCACCATACTGGGACAACATTTCGGCTGGTAAGTTTCCTAAAAGCAGACTGGGGAGTTGATAGCCAGGACTGTGTGTGTTGGACAATTCTGTGATTTATGTTGTTGGCATCCGTCTTTCTCGAAAAGTGCAGAATTTAGTTTCATTGATCTTTTTGGCACATACCATTAAACTTTAGCGTTATGAGTTTGGTTAGATCTGATAAGAAAATGCTGTTTTTAAAATTGCCTTGAGATCTACTCTTAACATTGCCACGGGCAGCAAAAACCTCTCCCATGATCTGCCTGCAAGTCTCACTCGGTGTGGTAGAGTTTGCAGCTGCCCTATCTGTTGAATATTCTGATGAATTAGACCAGGCATCCCCAAACTCAGCCCTCCAGCTGTTTTGGGACGACAACTCCCATCATCCCTGACCACTGGTCCTGTTAGCTAGCTAGGGATAATGGGAGTTGTCGTCCCAAAACATCTGGAGGGCCGAGAGTTTGGGGATGCCTGAATTAGACCTACTGGTCTCCACTCCCATCATTCTGCCCGGACACTGAGGTCCAGCGCCGAGGGCCTTCTGGCTGTTTCCCTCACTGCAAGAAGCAAAGCTACAGGGAACCAGGCAGAGGGCCTTCTTGGTAGTGGCGCCCACCCTGTGGAACGCCCTCCCATCAGATGTCAAAGAGATAAACAACTACCGGTACCTGACATTTAGAAGACATCTGAAGACAGTCCTGTTCAGGGAAGTTTTTAATGTGTGACATTTTAATGTATTTTTAATCTTTGTTGTAAGCCGCCCAGAGTGGCTGGGGGGACCCAGCCAGATGGGCGGGGTACAAATAATAAATTATTATTATTATTATATACTGACTGTTAACTGTCACCCCATTTCTCCAGTTTGTTCCAAACAACTCACGCTCACTGCTTTGTTCTTGCCCCCGACAGCTGCAAAGGACCTGATCAGCAGACTCCTTGTGATTGACCCCCAGAAGCGCTACACCGCCCAGCAAGTTCTTCAGCACCTGTGGATTCACACGGCGGGGAAAAACAGCAGCAGGAACCTCCAGAGGGAGGTGACCATCAATCTTGAACGCCACTTTCTGAGCCAGCGCAAGGCTGAAGCTAGCAACAAAGACTCGTAAAAGGTGCACCCAGGTGTACTTAATGAGCCCACTGTAAAAGCACACTTATCATATACTCTTAAGGACTGAGCTCAGGGGAAATCCATTATTCCTGTATGAAGACAAAGCCTGCTGTGCCCCCAAACTGATTGGCTAGTTTCCTGTGATGTTATGTGCCCCATTTCCTTCTTTCTACAGTTGTTGGTTTTTTTTAAATACTTGGGGCAGGGGTGGTGGTGAACAGCCTGTTTGAGCAACCTTGGGAACCCAGCCTTGAAATATTTTGGCGGAGGACTGAATTGGCCTTCAGTTTTCTGGTTAGCACATTTGTCACTGGCTCTCCAGATGCAGAAGGAAGCTGGGCCGGTCATAGCTTCATGGTAGAGCATCTACTTTGGACGCAGGAGGTACCAGATTCAACCCAGAGCATCTCCTGGTAGGACCTGAAGCCCCAGAGAGCTGTTGCCAGTCATTGTGTTCAGTACTGAGCTAGCTGCACTGTGGGTCCGACTCCAGATGAGGCAGCTTCTTCAGTTTCTGGCCCATGAAAATGCGATTTTTGTTCTTGTTTTCTTTTTGGTATGTCTGTGTGCACCAAAAGGCTGCCTTAATGTTCATCTAGTTCTCTGAATGCTTCCAACTTCTACACCTGCACCTTTTCTTTGGAGTTAAGACACCACGTCGTGGTGGTGGAGGCATATTTTAAATAGAACTCACTTTGAAAATGCTACCTGCAAAGTCCTTGTTGAACTGTTAACTTAAATGGATAATATTGGTTCTGTTTGTAATCCGTCCACATGTTTTAATAAGTTTACATACTGGTCAGGATCCTAAGAACTACTTTTAAGTGTGCATGAGGACTTGTGAATGTGTGTGCCCAATGGCATTTTTTTACCTAAAAGAGTAAATGTTAGTACAGTCGTACCTTGGTTGACGAACATTTTGGCTCCTGAGCACCGCAAACCCGGAAGTGACTGTTCTGGTTTGCAAACATTCTTTGGAACCTGAACGGCCGATGTGGCTTCCGATTGGCTGCAGGAGTTTCCTGCAGCCAATCATAAGCCCTGCCTTGCTTTCCAAACACTTTAGAAGTTGAATGGACTTCCGTAATGGATTCCGTTCAACTTCCAAGGTACCACTGTATTTCCTTTTGGAAAGTGTCCTCGATTTACAAAGGCAGCTTGCAAGGGGCAGTGATAGGGAACTTCCGGCTTTCTGGTCTAGTTAGATCTGCCAGGCTTCAGAGCTTAACCTACCAGGTTTTTTGGAGCAAAACCACGACCACCTTCCCCTGGTCTGACGTTGTATATGATGTCAGGTAAGGGTGAGTTCAAGCAGCAAGTGGAATAATACAATTGTAGGATGTGGAGTTTTTAGGGAATCCACTCCCCTGTAACGCAGGAAACTCGGCTAAAGCAGAAGCTATGGCAAAAAGGAAGACAAATAAGGGGAGTGTGCTCTCAATTCTTCCTTTGCAGGGACATTGTTCCTTTGTATCTCTGGCTTGAATTCAAACCAGGCTATAAACGAAGCATTGGGAGCTCATGTAGAGAGCACTCTTGGTTCCTTTCTTTGAAATTCCCTGCCCACCTGTCAGTGACTTGGTTATTAAGGACCCTTCCTCCAGCTAGATACAGTTTCCCAGGCCTGCCACGGGGCACAATTGGCTGTTTGAGAATCATAAGCAAAAAGCTTCCTTGGAATCTAGAATGAGCTGCGTGTTCTTTGGATCCTGGCTATTGAATTCAGCCTTGGTGTTATATTTTTCTTTGTAGATTTAAAGCATTCGTATCCTTTATTGTTGACGAACTGGGATGGTTCTCCCTGTACGTGTTGTGTATGGGGGAACCTTGTTTCAAGTGTATTTAGATATATATAGATATATACAGATATACACAAATACACACACATAAAAATATAATATTCTGGACACGTTAATAGAAAATATGAGAAAAGTTAATAGGATATTGTGCTAATAGGATGTGAATTATTTTCATAGCCTAAGAAATTTTATCCCCTTATAAATAGTGAAGTGTTGGAACATATAAGAACCAGATTCCTTTTCTTTTAGATATAGTATCAAACACAGTCAGTCCACAAATCTATGCTGCAACAGATATTTCTATTTCCAATATTATGCAATTCAAATCTTTAATTTCTCATACTTTCTTTGGAACATCATATTTAAGTTGTTGCTCTGTACAGCCCATGAGAGAAAAAACAATACGAGTATTTACTGCTTCAACATAAACTTTAGCAGTGAGTCTGGCACTTCAACCAGGAAACTTTAAATTCTGAGGTTGCAAACATTCCAGCCCCGGGGGTTTGCAACATTAGCATCTAAAGCCACTGGGGCTGCCGGATTCGGTAAAAACGCTGGGAAGTTTGCCATCTGCCCTGCCCTGCTCACTCGCTTCTGTCTCCTTCACGTCAGGCTCCAGCTTCTACCTTTAACTGAATTATGACCAGGGCCAGCCCACCTATGAGGCAAGGGGAAGCAACTGCCTCAGATGGCAGTATCTGCAGGGCAGCAGATCCAGCCTCCAAGGAATGCATTGCTTGCAGCGATGGCTGCAGCATGGTCTTTGGAGGCTGGATCTGATGAATAGAAGTGGCCTCAGTAAATAGGAGGTCTCTTCCCACCGCTATGGAGGAAATACCAGGGGCTGCCTTCTGGGGTCTGTACCTGCCTGGTGTGATTCAGAGCAGGCCCCTTTCTCCCCCATTATGGCCTTTGATTCCCACTTTGAGTAAGGTTGACTTGATTCCCTCGCTTTTCCCCAATACAGATCTTCCCTCCCCCTTTTGTTCCTGATGTAGATATTTATTCCCCGCTTGTTCCCTTGTAGATCTTTGCTCACCTTTACCTCCCAGGTGGGCAGGATGATGCCATTTTGTTTTTCGCCTCAGGTGCCAAAATGTTTTGAGCCGTCCCTGGTTTTGACTGTCTGTATCCCTGATAATGTTGTGATATGCAGGGAGAAATAAGAAGACTGATCAATCAATCAATCAATCAATCAATCAATCAATCAATCAAATTGATGTTCACTCTAGAGAAACCAATTTTTCATGTTTCCAGAACAAAGTTCCAATTTCCCCAGCAACTCTGGTTACTACTTACAAAGGAAACAGGTCCACATGTGTAGATTCAGCTAGAGCATGGAAATGGATGGAAATTCATATGGAGCATGGAAGTGGCTGATTGCGACACAACTCATCCAGAGCTTCACCTTTGTTACTTCTCCATCTTCAGTTTCACGGGGTGGGAGGAATCAAAGCCTGTTGCCAGGTCTCCGTTGCAAATTTGCCAGCACTCTTTTTGTCTCTCTAACTTTTCATCCCTTGTTTTTACTGTTCTAGATTGTAACCCTGAAAAATTAAACAAAAACTCAGGAATATCTTCCTTGGTGGTGTCTGTCTGTTAAACAGTCTTCTCTCTCTCTCTTTACGGAATAGCCTCCGGTGGGGAAAGCTCATTTTGGGAACTTTGAGGAAGGAAGCTGTGTATAGTAGACTTGTAAATACTATGGGTCTTAATCAAGCCAACATGGATTTACATTCCTGATTACTTCTAGCAATGGGATTAAAAACATGAATGATAATTAACAGTATAAATACTTTCCATTAGATTTTGATGTTTGAACTTTGAGAATGGGACAGTTCACATTTCTTACAAACAAGCTAGATCAGTGGTTCCCAGGCATTTCTCTCCATGGACCACTTGAAAAATGCTTAGAGTCTTGGCAGACCACTTAATATTTCTTTCCTCTCTGTTGTAGATGCTGTATGATTTTTAATTGTATTTTTAGAGACACACCTTGGACCACCTGAATTGAGTTTATGGACTACTGGTGATCTGCAGACCACAGTTTGGGAAGCCCTGACCTGGAGAGCTAGGCTCGCTCTTCATGTGCCTGACGTAGTCATGTCCAAAATAGAGTACATGGGGAGTTTGCTTTAGTGCATTGAAAAGCGTGTGTGGGTGAATATTTACCCCTCCCCGATTTTAGTTAGCTGCTCCATCTTTCCAGGAACGTGCCAGCCCAGCTCAATACTTGTACCAGCTCAACCTGGAAGAAATATGAAGTGATAACTTAAAGCAGAGGAGAGGTAGCTCCATACACCAAGTGTTCCTTTTGGTGTCAAAATTAAACTCTACCCCTCATCTTAGTTAAGAATGAAAAACACCTGTTTTCCATGATGAAACAGCCATATTTGCTTATCTTGAAAACATAGAGACAATGGTCTATTCGGCCCGCAAGCGGCATTCCGTGTCAGTTTATCTAGACTAATCCTGCTTCTAAGCTTTTGTTCCAGAAAGCTATTAAGGGGACTTCACCTGCTTGGCTATTTCTGCATAAAAAAGGGTTCTGCTTGATTAGTAGGCATTGCCAAAGTGACTTTTTTCCATCAAGACGTGTAAGTTTTGTCCTTCATGCAAAAAACTTTTAAGTGTAGCCCCTGAAGTTCTGCACAAAGTATCAGCATTTTGCACAACTATAATGAGCACTCACACTTTACATTGTGGGTGCCCTTTGCGGGATCACACGCGGTGCTACAGTTCCCAGGGAACTTAATGGCAAACGGGCTGGCCTGCCTCTCAGTGTTATTATTTGGAGGTTCACGTGTCTCACAGTGCACCCCCATATCCCATTTACCCTGATGTTCCCCAGTTCCCCCAGCTGTGGGGCTGGGGGGGATACACGCCCAAGGCCTAAGCCAAGGTCTTCCTACATTCGGAAGTTTAATAAAGTTGTGGCCTAATTTTAATTCCATAACACGTTGCCAGAGTCTTCATTCCTTTTTTATGATCCCTGGGGACTGGGGCTGTCGCTTCCTGGTCACGCAAAGAGAAAGGACTGGGAGGAGAGAGAATTATTCACCCTGGGTTATGAAAGTGGAACAACTAAACAAGATAATTTACTGCTGATAACGGCCCCATCTTCGTACAGCAAGAATATAAAGAACGAGATTTTTGTGATGGTGTATTTTCCAGGCCTGCTCTGTGGGGGAATAAAGCTTTGAAAGCTAGGATGGACCTGAAATGGAAATTCTGCCTCCAGTATTAAGAGAGGATTCCTAGCTGCCTTGCCTTAATTAAGTGTGGATTAGATGTCTGCGGCAGAGTTCAGCTGCTTATGGAAGTTCTCAGACCTGTGAATGATCCAAGGATGTGGGCGGCTTTGTGCCATGGTAATTTTGAAAGGTCATAGTTGGGCAAGACGAAGGCACGTTCTCAAGTTCAGGGCTGCTGCCAGTCTGGAGCTCAGGCTGCATTCTGTTGTCCTTTAAGAAGCACCCTATTGAGACTTTTCATAGCGCAGAGGAGGAAAAGACTTTTCGTATAATCAATTATTGACTAATGTGCTTTGTATCACTGGCAGCCCAGAAAGGACCCGGCCATTCTCTTGGGCTGCTTAACTCCTGGCGGAACTAGGCAGACAAAAGACTTAAGGAACCAGAGCTAAACCTGACACTGTCCTTTTGCACGGCTCCTCGTTCTCCTTGCCTACGTGCTCATTCTGTCTCTGATTTGGATGTGATCCTGCCCTCTTTAACAGGTTTGAGACTCTCAGTTTAAGGCAGGCAACAGGGAGCCACCTTCATTATCAGCTGTAACAAGTGGGCGTGGTATAACTGGCAGTGGGAATGCCATACATGCGAATAGATCTGCTATTCATGTACTTTGAAAAATAATAAGACTTTTTTATCCAAATTGAACACTGCTAAGCTGGAATGATACCACCTGCTGAAGGGCCAGGGCAACTGAATATTATTGTAATATATTTATTTATATCCTGCCTTTTACCTTGGCAGGGCTCAAGGTGGCTTACAGATAAAAATAAGGCCCACTTAAAACGTATAATTTTTTTTTTTTTTAATGAATTAACTATACATATGTAAAATCTGTTACAACAGAAGAACCCTTAGCTCTGGGAAGTGAGTGCGGTGATAATGGGGCTTTCATGTTTTACTATATATTGCGTCAGATTAGCATAGAAAAAAGTCATGTGACTTGATCCTGATAAATATATATTATGCCGCACACTGTTTTCTCTTTCTGTGGGATCATATATCCAACCATTTAGGACTTCGGGGTATATTAGTGGGTTCTGTTACAGCAGGCTTCTGCTCCTCAAAAATTACAACTACACCACTGCTTGCAGTTCCAAGTTGTCTGCACCCCTCATTTTTGCTGGCGCCTGCTCTTGTGATTCGCTGGTCCCTGCAGCCGGGGAGAGCTGAGCTGGTTTCCCCCACATTGTGATGTGTGTGTGAACGCTAAGCAAAAATCACGGGGAGAAAACCGTGAAGCCAGCCAGCCAATGCTTTTCTTGATTCCTGCAGCCCCTGCTAACTCTGCTAACTCTGCCTAGCTAGTGAGCTCATTGTCTGAGTGTAGCAAAAAGGCCATTTATGCACAACAGAGTAGTGGCAGTCTTGAGAGAACCCTGAGGTTTGTAGAAGTACAAAAACCTTGGGGGGGAAACCCTAATTTGTGGGGAGGGGTTTCCAGACTGTCGCAATGAGGCTACAGAATGTGGACTGTCAGATGGGGAAGGTGCTGGCAGAACGGACTATCTTGGAAAATAGTGTGGCTGTCTGGAACCCTGAGCAGGGCGATTTCACAATGCAATATGTTGTTTTTGCTCCCACTTCTAAAACGCACAGAACAGTGCAACAATTTGGATGTTAAGACTGGGTCTAAAAATGTATGAGCTGGTGGCGACCACCTTTTCATAAATGAAACGAGGATTCAGCTAAACAGGAGGGTAGCAAGCTTACTTTGGTGAAGACACAAATCTCGGCTTTAGACGCTTCTGAACCATTGAAGCAATTTATAAAACTTAGTCTTTTGCTGTGAAAAATAATTTCTACAGGATCAGTTGCGACACCTCTCAAAGAAGGGTTTCAGATCAGATGGGATAATTTCTCAGTAGCACTGTCGTTGTCATAGTAAGTATAGTCACTCTTATCAACGGAGACTGCCAGTCAATAAAGGTTCTTAAAAAAGGCACCTTTTTTTAGGGTGCAATTCTCTGCACATTTACTTGAGCGTAAGCTCCAGTGAACACAACATTTGCATAAACACATATAGCAGGGCTGTAGTCTTGGATCTGGTAGGTCGGCCAGGCTGTTATCTCCACCACCCTTCCACTAGCCAGGTTCACAAAGGTTCACTAGATTGTCCTTTGCAAAGGGGTTACAGCCTTTGTGAGCCCTTTCCAGAGTGGTATCTTACGGCACCACTGCTTGGTGATCTCTGCAAACTTGCTTTTGGCTGATCCCCACATCTTTTGCCACATATTACCAGTTGCTTAGGGGTGCTGAGCCTCTTTTTTCTTTTTTAGGAACACCCCAAAATCGTTGAGCTTTTTCTAAGGAAACCACCAAAATTGTAGAGATTTTTCTTTTTTTTAAAAAAAGCAACCTGTGATTTTTAACAAAACCTGTGATTTTTCATTTGACTTGCCTAAGATCCTGGACAAAGCACTACCTTTCGGACCCCACCCCCGAGATATCAATTCCACCTTTGAAATCCCAGTAATGTCTGGGAAGATCCAGACGTATGGCAGCCCTACTGTTACTGGAAATAACAGGAGTGGGGAGTGCTCTTGTGTTGAGAGCCAGTGTGGTGGTGTGGTTAAGAGTGGTAGACTCGTAACCTGGCGAACCGGGTTCGCTTCCCCGCTCCTCCACATACAGCTGCTGGGTGACCTTGGGCCAGTCACACTTCTCTGAAGTCTCTCAGCCCCACTCACCTCACAGAGTGTTTGTTGTGGGGGAGGAAGGGAAAGGAGAATGTTAGCCGCTTTGAGACTCCTTAGGGTAGGGATAAAGCGGGATATCAAATCCAAACTCTTCTTCTCTTGTGGGCTTCCCACTGGCACCTGGTTGGCCACTGTGGAAACAGGATGCTGGCCTAGATGGGCCATTGGCCTGATCCAGCAGGCTGTTCATATGACATCAGGTGTAAAACATGTGGACGTGATTTGGATGAAATGGTTTGGTGGGCCAAATGGAGAGGTCTTGTGGGTCTAATTCTGTGCTTTTCTGTTTTTGTGAACCTCCCTGAGATCTAACAGATGAAGTGTGGCATACAAATTTAACAAACAAACAAACAAACAAACAAACAAACAAACAGGACAGCAACCCCACAGTTCTTTGCCCTGATTTATAGGACTGCACTAACAATCTTGACTATGTACTCAAGAGTGGGGTTTCGAACCTTGATATAAAGCTGTCCCACCAGTCTCTTTGCTCCCTGCAAAGAGAAAGTAGTATAATCATTAATGCTGATGGTTACAGAAGCTCCACTTTTGATTAAAAGAAACAGGAGGGAATCAAACAAGCCCTTGGTTAATGAAACTCAGCAGGCATGCTTCTTTGACAGTTTTG